TGTGATGCATAATAAGGGTAATATTCATTGAATTTGAATTCTTAAAACTGTACAATTAAAGATGATTCAACAACAAAAGAAATTAAATCTGCTTAAATGAATTTAAGATCTGGATATTGGAGACCTTATTTTTATACTGATTAAATTAGTTAATGTATTAATTTACTTAGTAATTGTTTGGGTGGTTGGAAAGAAGGAGATACATCTTGTTATATAGGACATTTAGGTGCATTATGCGAAGAATGTGATATTTATAATTTACGTGGAGATGGACATTATTCAACAAGTACAAAATATTCTTGTAGTTCTTGTGCTGAAAAAGATACAAATTCATTGATTATTACTGCTATAAGTATATGGTAATATATAATTAAATAAATGATTAGGACTCTGGTATCAATTTTAATTTCAGTAAAGAGTACAGTTTAATTACTTGAGGATATAGCATTAAGAGTTTAAGTTAAGAAAATAAGAATCTTCATGTCAATGTAAGAATCACATTCTGGTATTCTAATAAAAATGCTTACTAATCATCTTTAAATCTTATCTACTATTACTAGTTTTAAATTGAGTCTTCCCTCTGGATTCACAAGTGCTATTAATGCTTCTGGAAATCCAATTCAAACTATGACATATTCTCTTGATTGTTTCTTAATGGAAATGTTCTATTTTAATATACATTATTCTAGAATGATTTGGTAAATGATTATGCCATTCATTTATGTATTCATATTCTTTGCTTTATATTGGATTGCTATCAAACTTAAAAAAACTACTTTTAGTATAAGTGTTATTACTACTACACTTATCTATTTGTATATATATCTATAACCTAATCTAGTCGGTGGATTCATATCCTTAATATCATTTAGAAATATATCTAATTTTAAATGGATACAAGCTAATATTGCTTATAGATATGATACCTTTTCACATTTTATATGGCTTCTATCTTTTTGTCTTCCAGGCTTATTATCTATTGCCTTCCTCATTCCATTACTATTTTTTTATGCCTTGTACTTAAACAAATCTAAATTAGATGATAAAGTTATTAGATAATAATGGGGATATCTTTATAATGAATATAAAACTGATGTCTATTTTTGGGAAATCGTTAAAATTATTGAAAAAGAATTACTCATTATATTTCTCTCTTATTATGATGAATCTATTGTTAAAAAAGGAATTCTTGTTCTACTCATTATTTATGTCTATCAAGAACTTAATACTAAATTTAAACCATATAGATCACCTAATCTAAATAAATTAGATGCCTATTCTGCTAATGTTTGCCAAATCTCTATTGCCCTTGGTATTGGCATTTATATTGATCAATTGTCTGCATCTTTAGAAATTTAAATACCTTATTTCATCATACTTGCTACTCTCAATTTCTATTTCTTTTTACTTGTACTCATACAATTATTATAATCATATACCAAAGATTTAGAAATGCAATTAGATAAACTTCGTGATCTTGTTAGACAAAAAGCTCCATGGACATAGAATTTCTAATTCCTTAAAAAAGAACTTCAAAATCGGTAAGAAATCAGAATTAGAGTTAAAAAAAGATACAAAACACTTAGAGAATACTTAATGGAATAAGCTAAATAAATCTTAGAATTCAAATCATATATTAATGGAACTAAAATCTATAAAAGTGCTAAAGTATATCCTGAATAATTTAGTGAATGCTCTCAAAATGAGTAATATTAATAATAAGAGTATTATTATTTTTTTAAATAATTAGCCATTTATAAAAACCAACTAAACTATTCCTTGAAGATAAGGGAAGCTAGCCTGATTTATAAGAATTTGTTGTTTGATTATGATTATATCTAAATTGTTATTTAATTAAATTATTTTTATTAATATATATTCATATATTCAGTCTGAATAATTAAATTCAAAATTCTTTTTCTATATATATAATTTCTTAAATAATAAATAACTAATAAATTCATCTGAATTTTGTTTTTATGGATTATATGTAAAGACTTAATTTTTAATAATTAAAAGAGTAAATACGATAAATTTAGTTTGATTTTGTAGTTGGAATTTAGAAGTAATGCTTTAAGAAGATTATACATAAAACAATCAATTTATTTCAAGATAAATATAGATTCAAAAAAAAAAATATATCATTATGCAATTTAATTAAAAAAAAGTAGACAATAATAATTGTTCTAATTTAAATTTCACAAGAATTAATGAAATAGCAGTATTTTTTATTAGTCTTAAACTTTTATTACATTAATATAAAAGATAAATAAAATTTTTAATATCTTTGTGTTTAATTTTTATCCTTTAAAGTATTAATTCTGTAATAAATACAATTTAGAAAGCCATTAGAAAGAATATTATATTTTAACTTAAATTATAAAAAGTTATTATATAATTGATATAAAAACATAAACAAATAACTAAAAAGAGTTATAAATGAAAATTAAATCAAGATATTAGATTAAATTGGTTTAATAATATTTAAAATTGAAGTAATAAAAAATATGAATTTATTATACATCTATATGTATAGAAGGAATGAATAAATAAATCAATATGGGGTAGTAGCTCATTTAGTAGAGCGCGTGATTTGCATTCACGAGGCGCCGAGAGCGAAGCTCGGCTACTCCAATTTTTTTATTTTATTTATTTATTCAAAATTTTATTTTACTTATATAATAATTACAATATTTCTTAATGATATTCAAAAAAATTATTTTATAAAAGTATTCTAATATAAATAATATAAAGGTGCAAAATCATAATTAATTTAGATCTTATTTCCTATTCTTTTGAATTTTCATTATTATTAAATTAATTTTATATAAATAGAAAGAAGAAAATAATGTAAAGTTCACAATTTTCAAAATTATATTACTTTTAGATCATTTAGATATATAATTGTACTTTAATCATTCGAAATTCTTTTTCTATATATATAATTTCTTAAATAATAAATAACTAATAAATTCATCTGAATTTTGTTTTTTGTGGATTATTTTTAAAGACTTAATTTTTAATAATTAAAAGAGTAAATACGATAAATTTAGTTTGATTTTGTAGTTGGAATTTAGAAGTAATGCTTTAAGAAGATTATACATAAAACAATCAATTTATTTCAAGATAAATATAGATTCAAAAAAAAAAATATATCATTATGCAATATAATTAAAAAAAAGTAGACAATAATAATTGTTCTAATTTAAATTTCACAAGAATTAATGAAATAGCAGTATTTTTTATTAGTCTTAAACTTATATTACATTAATATAAAAGATAAATAAAATTTTTAATATCTTTGTGTTTAATTTTTATCCTTTAAAGTATTAATTCTGTAATAAATACAATTTAGAAAGCCATTAGAAAGAATATTATATTTTAACTTAAATTATAAAAAGTTATTATATAATTGATATAAAAACATAAACAAATAACTAAAAAGAGTTATAAATGAAAATTAAATCAAGATATTAGAGTAAATTGGTTTAATAATATTTAAAATTGAAGTAATAAAAAATATGAATTTATTATACATCTATATGTATAGAAGGAATGAATAAATAAATCAATATGGGGTAGTAGCTCATTTAGTAGAGCGCGTGATTTGCATTCACGAGGCGCCGAGAGCGAAGCTCGGCTACTCCAATTTTTTTATTTTATTTATTTATTCAAAATTTTATTTTACTTATATAATAATTACAATATTTCTTAATGATATTCAAAAAAATTATTTTATAAAAGTATTCTAATATAAATAATATAAAGGTGCAAAATCATAATTAATTTAGATCTTATTTCCTATTCTTTTGAATTTTCATTATTATTAAATTAATTTTATATAAATAGAAAGAAGAAAATAATGTAAAGTTCACAATTTTCAAAATTATATTACTTTTAGATCATTTAGATATATAATTGTACTTTAATCATTCGAAATTCTTTTTCTATATATATAATTTCTTAAATAATAAATAACTAATAAATTCATCTGAATTTTGTTTTTTGTGGATTATTTTTAAAGACTTAATTTTTAATAATTAAAAGAGTAAATACGATAAATTTAGTTTGATTTTGTAGTTGGAATTTAGAAGTAATGCTTTAAGAAGATTATACATAAAACAATCAATTTATTTCAAGATAAATATAGATTCAAAAAAAAAAATATATCATTATGCAATATAATTAAAAAAAAGTAGACAATAATAATTGTTCTAATTTAAATTTCACAAGAATTAATGAAATAGCAGTATTTTTTATTAGTCTTAAACTTATATTACATTAATATAAAAGATAAATAAAATTTTTAATATCTTTGTGTTTAATTTTTATCCTTTAAAGTATTAATTCTGTAATAAATACAATTTAGAAAGCCATTAGAAAGAATATTATATTTTAACTTAAATTATAAAAAGTTATTATATAATTGATATAAAAACATAAACAAATAACTAAAAAGAGTTATAAATGAAAATTAAATCAAGATATTAGAGTAAATTGGTTTAATAATATTTAAAATTGAAGTAATAAAAAATATGAATTTATTATACATCTATATGTATAGAAGGAATGAATAAATAAATCAATATGGGGTAGTAGCTCATTTAGTAGAGCGCGTGATTTGCATTCACGAGGCGCCGAGAGCGAAGCTCGGCTACTCCAATTTTTTTATTTTATTTATTTATTCAAAATTTTATTTTACTTATATAATAATTACAATATTTCTTAATGATATTCAAAAAAATTATTTTATAAAAGTATTCTAATATAAATAATATAAAGGTGCAAAATCATAATTAATTTAGATCTTATTTCCTATTCTTTTGAATTTTCATTATTATTAAATTAATTTTATATAAATAGAAAGAAGAAAATAATGTAAAGTTCACAATTTTCAAAATTATATTACTTTTAGATCATTTAGATATATAATTGTACTTTTAATCATTCAAAATAAACATAAACAAATATTTTTTAGATCATTAAAAATTTATAGCCTATCATTATGATTACTATAAATAATCAAACATTAGTAAGGAAAATAGATTAAAATCTATTTTCTCTTGTGATAATTATTAAAATGCTGACTTGAGTTGGGTTTCTTTTTCTGAGAAAAATGGAATTATATCATTGATTGTAAGAAAGCTTTTTTAATTAGAAAAATTATAAAATGCTTTCTATAAATTTTTTTTTGTAATTAAAGATTTCTTATCTGTAAATCTTATAATTAATTCTATGTATGGCAATTCAGTTTATTATTGAAAAATTTGATTAACAGCAAACAATGATTCTGATTAATTATATATATGTTTAAATTTTTTCCTAACTAAGGTTGCTAATTAAAATCTAGTTATTCTTTTTGCATTTTTTAATTGAAAGAGAAATTCGAGCGAATTGTCATTAAACATCTCTGCCATCATATAGAAAAGAATCTATTGAAGAGGGTAAAGTATAGGGTTTATGACTTTTAGTTTATGATTTTAATCAAATGAATTAATGAAAGAAGATTCTAAAATTTACTCTAAATCTATTCTTTTTTGAGGATCAATTTATAACATTTGATTTAATAAGTTCTAAATTTCACTATAATAATTATCTTAAAATAAAGGAAATTAACTTCTTCTGCCTTATGTTATATTTTCTAAAAAGTCCCGAAATGAATTTCCAGTGAAAAGCTGAAGATTAAATACTAATCGAGCTACAATAATTCCTAATGACCATACGTCATCCTTAAAGGTTGGCTCAATTAATTAATTTTCAAGATGAGCTTACACTAATTAGGGACTTGAATATTTGAGTTTTTTGGAAGATTTTTTATCAGAAATAATAGCTTAAAAAAAATCAACTAATGTTATTTAAATTTTTGGAGATTAATCTACAATCTCAAAACTTTTTAAGGTTAAATTTCCATGTACTATAGATTTAGAATGCAAATAGTGAATAACACTAAAAATTTAAGTTAATAGTTTCTTTGATTTATAAATTGAAATTTGTTTTGATTAATTTTATAAAAATGATTCTAAACTTCCACCATTGCAATAATTCTTTATTAATGTATATTATTGGCAATGATAATATATTTCAACAAAATCTTATAAATTTTTGTGAAATAGGTTGGAATATAATGAAATGCAATTATTAGTTTTTTCGTTATTATCTAAAATTTCAGCGATAAATATTTATCTAGTCAATATATGCTATACAATGATTGAATTTGAATTCTGATTGACTTTATCTAGATTACTAATTTAATTGTAATATTTTAAATAACTTTCATTGATTACATTTGATGGCTAGATAACTTCATCAACATAATTAAAATCTAATGTATGATCATTCCTTTTGGAAAAAATTAATGTTGGTGAAGCAGGTCCTTCAGAAACTAAATTATTCTGGAGATTTTGAAGGTTTATGCTTTTTAAAGTTCCCTTTTGAAAAGAGCATGTTCCCATAGTTTTAAATTTTAGTTAATTAATGTATCAAGATAATAAATAATTGATCCAAATCATTTATGGAAAATACACCATCTTAATGTAACACCAGAAATAATCTTTAAACATAATAATGTTTTTTTATTTTTAAGTTGGTTTTAATTTATTTTATCAATGGATATACTATATTGATTTCTTCACTTGTATTCATTTTGGTTTAATATTTAGAATGGATATAAGAAAGATTAAAAATTATTCATAATTGTACTATTAATTATTGTTTATTGATTTGCATCAAGAGGGGCATTACTTCAGATTCATAAATATTGATTATAATAAATTAATCAAGGTAATATATAATCCAGCAGATGAATTATTGGTTGATCACTTTTGTATATTTTATTATAAAACTAAAATTAGTTTATTAATGAAGAAATAATCATTTTAGAACAAAATGAGGGAATATAGATTCCTCAATTTTCTTCTTCTTTTATGCTTGCTAAGATTTTAATAAATTTTAGAGACTTAATTTCAAAAGATGTTTTTACAATTTAATAGGGGATATCTTTTTTCCTAATGAAATTCCATTTGTGTAATCAGCTTATATGAAAGAGTATTTTGAAACTAATTCATCTGAATTGCTTGCAGTAGTCTTACAAATATAATTATCGTTTCTATCTGAAATAATTGCATTGGAATTATACTGGTTCTTTATAAGTTTAGGAAGTTATTCACTAATATTAGATTGATTGTATATTCTTCTATCTCTCCTTTACTTATTTTCTTTTAAAATTTCTTTAGGTAAATTATAAATCTAATGATTATCCTTCCATTAACTAATAGTTGGTTTTTCTTTAATCGCTAGAGTTTCTTAATGTTCAAATCTAAGAGAGGATATTATATAAGGTTAATGTTCTGACAATCTCAAAGTTGAATATTTCATTGAATAATGGAAATAGAAATTTATTTATTTATATATTATGAACTAAACTACTAGAGTTAAGTGAATTTGAATTATTTACTATAAAGAAATAGATAAAAAATATATTGAATTGAATATGATATTCAGTTAAATATTATTAGTATAAATAATGAACATAAAGTTAGATTAGATTAGAAGGTTAATAATATATTTAATCATTCATTTCGTATTTGAAATGATTTAGTCTTTTGATGTGCTATTCTTCTTAAAGGTTTTTATGTTTCAGTGATTTTTTACTTATCTTAATTTCCAGTTTCAATATCTATCACAATTAAAGATTTCTTAAATTCCACTTTTTTTCTTTAAAATTTTGTTACTGGTGCCAATATTTTAGAATCCTATCTTTTTAGAAATAGCTTAGTTCTTTTTTATTGCCTCTAAAATTCAACAGGTGTAGCATTTCTAGAGTCTTAATCAAGTATTGGAATTTCAGGTAATGATCTTTGATATCTCTTAGGTTTAGTTGTGATTATTTTCGGTAATTAAAAATGATAAGGAATTTCAATAAGTGGATCACTTTCACATTATGTATACATTTTATTTGCAATATTCCTATCTGTAACTTCTCCCTCTGTTTTCAAAGATTAAGGAAGGACTTCAAATTAATTTAGAAATAGAGATGGTCTCATAGTTCTTATAGTTAAGTCTTTTTTAGGTGAAGTCTCTTTTTTAACAATAGAAGGAAGATGAAAAGCTGGATGTGACATAGAACTTCAATTTTTATTTTATTAAATGATTTTAGAAATTATTCACTCATTTACGTATTATATTGAAACTGATTAAACTGTCGTTATTAAAATTACTAATTATATTATTATCTTGTACTATATTAATTTTTAATAAATAAAAGTGTTTATTTTAGACATCTACAAAAATTCAGTAAATAACGGAGAGTGCGTAATATGAAAATGATATTCAATAGAGAAGTTAGCTTTTTTGTTAGGAAATATAAATTATTAAATAAAATCTTTTAACTTTCTGAGTAATATAATTATTTATATAATAAAATGAATTGGAATTAATTTGAGGCAATTCACTAAGATGTAATATAAAACTTATAAAATAATGGTTTTAATACTCCAACACCAGTATAAGTTGAAGTTCTTAATAATTACCAATAACATAAGCATATTATAATAGCATCTCAAACAGGATCAGGTAAAACTTTAGCATTTGGAATTCCTTTAATTTCAGAGATTCTTAAGAATATGAAAAATTATACCGATAAATAGATTATAGCTTTAATTTTAACACCAACAAGAGAGTTGGCAATGTAAATTTATAAACATTTGAAAGCTATAACAAATTTATCAATTGGTTGTTTAGTAGGAGGAATGGCTAAAGAGAAATAAAGGAGAGTTATCAATTCAGCTCCACTCATTTTAATTGCTACACCTGGTAGATTATGGGATTTCATAGAAAATGAAGAAAATGATAAAATTAAAAAATTAAATCTCATTAAATTCTTGATTATAGATGAAGCTGATAGAATGGTAGAATTAGGACATTTCCCATAATTAGATAATATTATGACTAAAATAACAACACCATCATCAATTACTCATGATAAAGAAAGAATTATATCTATGATGAAAGAATAAAGTGAAGCTGTTTATCTTAATAATTAAAAAATTACATTTGAAGTTGAAAAACCAGTTGAAATGACTTATGAAGACTTTTTAAAATTATAAAATGGTAAAGGAAAAATATATATTGATAATGATATTATTCAAAATCAAGATATTGAAGAAATTAATAACGATGATCAAGAATTGATTGAATAAGAAGATTAAGAGGATTAAGAAGATTAAGAGGATTAGGAAGATTAAGAGGAAGAAGAAGAAGAAGCAGAAGAATAAGAAGTAGAAGAAGAGGAAGATTAAGAAGATTAAGAAGATTAAGAAGATTAAGATTCAAAATAAGAAATATAAGAAGATGAGAGTGAAAATGATAATGATGAATAAGATCAAGATAATTTAGATGATTAAGATAATAAATCAAGATAAAAAAAGTTTAAAAAAGAATAAAAAAAAAAGAAACCTTAAAATTTTTAATAAAAAGATTATTCCTTAAAAACTAGAAATGAATTAAGAACATTTTTAGTTTCTGCAACTTTAACTCATTAATTTAAGACTGGATCAAAATTTTAATTTCTTAAATCCTCTAAAAATGATTAATAAAACTCAGCTGATAAATTATTAATAAAATAAATGAAAGCAACTGTTCCTAAATTATAATCTTTATTGGGTAAATTAAAAATAAAAGAATAACCATATATAATTGATTTAACATAGTAACTTGTATTTCCAGAAAAATTATAATTCTTTAAATCATTAATGGAAGAAGATGATAAACTCTTACATATATATCATTGGTTTAAAAATAATGAAGATTAGACATTCATAATATTTTTGAATTCAATAACATATGCTAATAAAGTTACATCAATGTTAAAAGTTCTTGGAGTAATTAAATTATATTATAATTTTAGCTTCCAGCTGTCACATTACACTCTTAACAATAATAAAGATAGAGATTAACAAAATTAGATTAATTTACAGCAAAAAAGAGCAATATTTTAGTTTGTACTGATGTTGCAGCAAGAGGTTTAGATATAGTAGGAGTTGAAAATGTTATTCATTATTAAGTACCTTTTACTGCTGATACATTTGTTCATAGATGTGGTAGAACTGCTAGAATCAATAGAGAAGGAAAAACATTAGTATTAATTGGTCCAAAAGATATGGCAAGATTTGCTAAATTAGAAACTGATTTATTAAGTAGTGGAATTAAATTTGAAGATTTTAAATTATCTTTTAATCAAGTTAAAAAAACTAGAGATTTGATAAAATAAGCATAAAAATTAGAAAAAGAAGATCACTCTTTAAAAAAAAAGAAGAACATGAAAGATGCGCTTTAAAAATAATTAAATAATGATGATTTTGATTTAGATGAAAAAGAATTAAAATAAGAATTAGAAAATGTATTTCTTATTATTAATATTATAGATTGAAGAAGAATTAATCAAAAAAAGATAGAAATTAAATCATGAAAAAATGCAATATTAACAAATAGTATCATAAAAAAACAAACTTGATAATAGATTTGAAAGAAGAAGAAATGGTTTATTTTTAACTCCTGAAGACACATTGCAATTAGCTGAAAAATTGAAGTAATAAAAAGAGATGCTTCAATTCAAATAATAATAACACTAAAAACAAAAAGGATGATTTGATTATTATTAGGTTATAAGTATTCTTATGTATTTTATTAAATTTAATTTATTAAAAATTAATTAATTCTGGCTTGTAATAATCTAATCTAGCAGAAGTATTACTGAAATAAATGGAAATTTTGTAAAAAGAATTTGAAAATCTTTATCAGAGAATTCTAGAAACATCCTAAAATAATATAATTATTAATAGACATTCTAATTGTAGTTTGCTCTATGTATGCAAGGCATGATAAAAAGTTAGAGAAGTTTTCTTAAAAAGACAAGATTTTTTAATTTCAAGATTGTATTTATGGAATCAATTTAAAAAATCCATAGTATCTATTGGAATTGATAAATTTTGTTAAATCAGTTAAATTAGACATCTAAAGATATATATATGAATTATAACATAATATAAATTGATAAAATTATATATTTAATGAATTTAAATGATTCTCAAATATTAGAGTATCAATAAATACAAAACAAATATAAAAGAAAGATACTCAAATATTGCTGGTCTTCATAATCCAATAGGGAATAGTTCATTGAATGCATGCTTAAGTATTATTAATTATAGTCTAAGGAAAAATGAACTTTTTAATATTTAATAAGAATTATTTCAACATAGATTAAAATTTGTTTTAGATTTTACAAACAATTAATGTCTCAAAAGTATCAAAAACTAATTTGATGAATAAATGTGTCTCCAAAATGCCAGAGACCAGATTACAATTTTTCATGAATTATTTGAACAAATTTTGTAGAAAGAATTATTGTGAATATATTATAAAATAATTATTAATTATGGCTGATTAGCAATAGATATTGTTTCTAAAATAATTAACTGTCAATATGTAATCTCTATAACGCTACATTTAAAAGGAGACTAATGAATAAAGAGAGAAATGCTATCAAATTTATTTATAATCTGATCAACATTACGATGAATATCATAAATGTATTTTTTATTATCATATTGATAGGTATTCTCTTATTGCAAAATAAGAGAAAAGCCGTAGATCGAACATATGAATCAATGGTTAAATATTGGCCATTTTAGACCGAATAATGTTTTGAGAAAGCATCAACTAAAGATTAAATTATGAACTGTTAATAGCATACAACAGAATCTTTAACCAATTTTTTATAGAATTCAATCAATTAGTTATAAATTTGAACATTTAATTATATCAACATATTATAGATGTTTAAAATTTTGTTGCCACTTAGTTTATAATTCCATTCAATAAAGAATTTAATTTCCTTATAAGAAATACTAAATTTATTTCCAATTTTAATTTATTTTATAGCTTTAAATATAGAATTTATTATTTCAATATCTAATAATAGTATTTAACTGAAGTATAAAAATATAAAAGTTCAATTTAAATTAAAACATTTTATTGGAAATGATTTTTGATATTTTAATGTATCTAATGAATCAATCATAACTCTTGTGTAGATACTCGATGATTAAATTTACAAAGTTTTGGTTGATGTAAGATAAAATAGATTAAACATTCACAAGTCTATTCATACTAAGAACAATAAAAAATAATGAAAACCCCATAAAGGAAAAATATTTGACTCTTGATTATGAATAAAAAGTAAAAAATATTTGAATTATCTATATAATATTCTTAAAATAGTAGTTTTTCTAATTATTTAGGCTGATGAAAGATAAATGAGGTCTTTAGCATTCCAATATTTAAAATTAAAGATTATAAGATAATGTTTATGGCAAAACAATTATTTTTGGAGGATATATCGGTTAAAAGGTATATATAATTAAATATAATCAAATTAAAAATTTTTTAACACCCAAATCTGAAAAATAAGTTTCTATTTTTATTTGAGTCTTTTAAGAAATATTTAACATGAAAAGATCATAAAAATCTTCTAAATTCAATAATTTAGAAGTAGAACTTAATTCTTATTATCTTCAAATATAAAAATTTATATTTACTCAATGGAAGTGTTCGTTGAATGATGTTATGTTAATAAATTTATTTAATAAGCCAATGTTTATTGTTCATTTGAGAACATCAATGAATTAATTAATAATATATAATTAGAATTCCACTCTTCCTTCATTTTGGAATGCTCATTAGTAAACTACCTCTGCTAGATTAAACATCATCTTAAAAAGTATTGTTCAGCAAAACAAAAATAAACTACGAAAGTTCGAATGGTGTAAGTGTTGAAAAGCCATACAGATAGACCAATGTACTTAAACCGAAAAGATAATTAAGTATAACGAAATAATCAAATGAGTGTAAAAAACAAATAACTACATAAAATGATGAATCAATATCAAAAAGAATACATGTAGGTAAGTCTTAATCTGATTACTTAATAATTGAGAAACTACAATAAGAATTTGAATAAAAATATTAGGAGTATGTAAATAAGATTGATGTAAGATAGGTTAGGATTTGTGAGGATTTAAAATTGGAAAATGTTAAATTAAAAATGCAGTTAGAAGAGTAGGAATAATAAATAATTTACTTAAAGTTAATAAATAGTGATCTACGATATTAGATAGATAACTCTACTTTAACATAATAATTAAAGAAGTTAGAGTTAGAATATAAGGATACTTATAGAAGAATGGACGATACTCTAAGAAAAGCAATTGATGAAAATTATGAGAGTTAAATAAAAATGAAAAATCTATCAATAAAATCTCAGCAATTAGAATAGTTTACAGTAAATATAATGATAATGGGATAGTTTTCTTTAAGACAGTAACTTACTTGCAAATTCTGTAGGAAGGAATTGTAAAATACGATTACTGTGATTCCATGTGCTCATAATTACTGTTAAAGATGCATTTCTGGATATGTAGGGAGATGTTTTGCATGTAATGATGATGTAAGATTAAGAATTTTATTATTACTATTTAGAGTCATGTTTAAGCTACATATCATAACGAATATATTAGCGATTTAATAAATATGTATAAAATATTTGAGAATATTTTGAATATATTAAAAACTTGATTATATAAAGTGATTTTTCAGCAGGTAAAAAGATATTAAAATTTATTGTATAATTATATATAAATAAAAGTCAGAGGTTAAGTAAACCTTAGTAGTATTCATTATAGACATCATGTAGTTATGATTCAATTCTTTGATGACATCTTTCATATTCTCGATCATTGGTATTTACTTTGTAACATTCAAGAGCTTGTTTTTCAATAAATAGCATTTTGATTGAGAGGTATTTTGCAAAGTTGTCTATTTTACCTTCATGTCTTTCCATACCTAAAATGATGAATAAATAAAATACATGTGGCAAAGAGTTCGAAGGTTTTTGAATTTCTAAGACAAACTTCCTTCTACTTTTCAGCCAAGTCTTATTGTTTGAGCATTTGATCAATCGAGATTTAACTGTCTTCTTTGAAGTTTTTGAAGTCATTTTCATATTACTATTTTCTTTACATTTCTTTTGATGTATTAAATATTGATTTAGAGGATGAAGATATTGGATGGTTATGAATTACGATAATTCATCATAACAGTATATTAATTTCAAATTTGGATGATTCATTATGTAATAACATATTTCGTCATTTATTAAAATCATTGATTTATTTTTATATTTATATGATGTTATATTAATTATATAAATGAGATTTTAATTATACGTTGAATGTGATTAAAAGTACATAGAATTTTAATTATAGTGATCTCCAGTAAAATATCGATTACAATAAGGACAATGAAAGTAATTGTTCAAATAAAATCAAAAAAAAGATTGGTAAACATGAGATATATGATGATTTTATTTTATTTTGCGTTAATTTGAGAGAATAAAATAATGAAATAGGTTCAAATAAAATAAATTATGTATCTAATACTTAAGTAGTATTTATATTATAAATAAGTATAATAAATATAATAGATTAATAATATATAAATGATAGATATAAATAATTCAAGAATGAGTTGAGTAATCATAGACAACTTTCAGAATGATGATCTTACAAATCCATGGAAGGTTCATCAAACATTTTAATAGAAATGAAATATCCATCTTTAGATGTATCAATAGAAGGGATGTCAACACGAGTATGGAATATATATTTAAATTCTTCAGGATATTATTATTCTAAGATTTCTTTAGTCGTTGAAGAGATTTAGAGTTTACCTCTTTCTCCTTTAGATTCCATTTTATTAGCAATCAGAACATCTGGTCCATAGATATCATATCTAACAATTTCAGTACCAAGAACACCTCCAATAATACTACCAGTATGTATTCCTATACGCATATCTAATCCTTAAAAATTGATATGATCTCTAACTCTTTTTATAATGCTAATCATTTCAAAACCTAATTCTACTGTATTTTTAGCTTCTAAGGCTATATTTCTATCTTTCGCATCCAACATACCCATCACAACATAACAATCTCCAATTGTATAAAGTTTATATACAGATTTTTCTTAACAACATTTATCAAATTCTGTAAAGAGATTACGCAACATAAAAACAACTTATTCTGGAGAGACTTTACTTGAATATTCAGTAAAACCAGCAATATCAGCAAATAATAAAGTTACATTATCATAACTATCTTTAAGAACAGCTCTTTGTTACTAAAATTTAAGAAATTATTCAAGCATATGACGAGGTAACTAATGTTTGACTAAAGAATCTAATTATTGATGTTTTGCTTTAAGTTTACATTTATTATTATACAATTAAACATTCTTATAAAATTTATAGATTTAATTTGAGATGAATATTAATTGTAATATGATTGCATAATAAATGATACTTTTTACCCAATTCTTAACAAGAACAACAATTAAATTGACTGAAATCATTGATATACTTTCAATAACTTTATATTTCATTTTAATAATAGGATTCAATTAAGTCATAAATGATAAGAAAACTCCAACAGCAATACATATTTCTCCAACAATAAAACTTTAATAAGAAAAGATATGAATTATCCACCATATCATTGTTATAATGTAACTATAAATAAAATAGATTTCTTTAAAATATTTCTCTCTGTATTATTTAATGATTAATAACATTAAAAATACAATTTTGATCGCAATTATAACATATCCAAAAGTTAGATTGATATACCATGTATATTAATTTTCAAATATTTATGCTATTATAATAGTAGATGTATTTTAAACTACCAAAAGAATAGTTACTCCTGCTTTTAATAAAATAACAAGTATTGTATTTTTTTTTGTTAATTCTTTATAAAAATTATTAATATGATATTATTCGACTTATGGATGAAAATCTAAGAATAGTTTTGTTCTATCTAAAATTAATACATCCTATTCTTTAAATTCTTCATCAGTTTAATATAATTATTTTAATTTATCTTTTTCAATAAATCCATTTGGATAATCTAAATTCTCATCCATAAATAAATTCTCTTTTCCCAATTTAATTTCTATTGCTTCAATAAGATTAGTTCCTTCTACACTTATTCTCTATCCTAATTGATTAGCATGATCACTATCTCCATGAGAATATTATTATTATTATGCTTCTACATTAAGACTGGATTTATGTGATAACTTCTAATTACTCTATTTTAAATGTGGCAATACTAGAGTAGGTTTTCTTTTAATTCTCTAATCTCTTCCTTACATCTATATATCCTACTAAACACTTTCAGTATTCTTATTCTTACCTTGCTTTATACATTATTTCCTATTTCTCAATGTCTTTCTCTGTTCTTATTCTTCTAATATATATGTCACTAATAATCCTTTACCCTTTGCATCAACAATATCTTTAGTAAATAAAAAATCTTAAGATCCACTAACCAATTTATAAGCATCTTCTGATATCTTAATTTACCCATCCTATCCTGTTGAACATACTCTACTTGTAGTATTAACAGTATCTCCAATTAATGAAAATTATGGTTTATGATATCCAATCACACCTGCTATCACATTCCCATAATGTACTCCTATCTTTACTATTATCTCACCAGATCCACAAAAATCATACTATTATGCAAACTTTCTCATCTCAAATGCTGCTTAAATTGCTCTCAGCACTGGATTTGCACTATTTTATGATACTATATTCTTTAAACCTGCTGCTGCCATATATGTCTTACCAACAGTCTCTATCTTCTATAATCCATATTGACTACATAATGAATCATATTATCGAAATAATATATCTAATAAATGTATCACATTCTCCTTCTCTGCCTTTATTATTTTATCAAATTAACATATATCACAAAATAAAATTGCCACTTCTCCTTAGTTCTCTTAAATATCAAATTCACCCTTCTAATTTATTATATTTCTTATAAACTTTGGCATCAATATACTTAATGTATCACTTATTGAATTTGTCTATTAATCCAATGTCAGCATCTATATAAACTCTTCTCTTGAATTTCTCTATAATCTCAAATGCATCCCACTAGATAACGCTGTTTACATCATTGCTATCAAATAATAATTCAACATTATGTATTTATTAAAATTTGCATCACTTGTTGTATTATTAGCACTAAATCTTATTATAAAACTGATATTCAAAGCAAAACAATATAAAATTATTGTCAAAGGTCGATCATCAATCAATGGTTATAACATAAATAATTGCATTATCAACATATCTGTTAATTAATTATCATTATCCTAATAAAAATAAGCATCATAAACTATCTTATAAATCAATCGACTTATTATCAATATCTTACTTATTCGAAAATGATATTTCTTAAATGCGACTGTGTAAATGAACAATGCCATCAACAATTATGCTGCATTATATCCAAATGTAAAATACAAAAACCAAGTATAATTAATATCTGTATTGATTAACCAAATCTGAATAAGAATTGCTCCCTCCACTAACATCCAACTTAATGGATAATAGAATCTATAATACTCAATTATAGATTATAATTCATTTAATTAATATTTGATTTCTAATTGAATGTTTTTAAAAGTTTAGGTTATCTTATTTATTTTAGTTGTCTTTACACTCAATACTATCCCTGATAAAACTTACTTTACTATAGGATCTATTTCCTCTTCACTCTTAAACAATTTCAAAATGTATTTCTATATATTGATTACCAAACTCTCCTTCCTTTTCTTTGAATTATGTATCTAAATCGGTTTGACCGTATTGTTTATTTCAATCTAATCCTCCTCTCTATATAATGTATTATGCACATAAATTGAATAGAATTGAGTTAGAGTCTTCTAAAAACAAAAAAACAATAACTGCAATGATAATATAAATAGCATTGATTCCATCGATAACACATATTAGAATAGATCAAACATATTATTATCAAAGTAATCCAAATAACCAATGGTACAAAATGAGAAATAAGATATTGGCAATAATATATATTAGTACAAATTAGCATGAGTTAATTACTTTGTTAAATCTAATAACAATATAATAACAAACACTTGAATTGATTTCATTTCCTCATCAAACATTAATCCTTTGTTGTTTCTCATATCCATTATACTAATCATTATTGAGATTATAAATGCTTCAAAAGCTGAATAGAGTATTACCTTATAAAAAAATAACCAATATCTCATCTATCTAAAATCCAACTGATTTTGATTAAAGAAATACACTAATTAATTTTTGATATTAGTCACTTTCTCCTCCTTTGGAGTCATTCTCTAAATATACAATAAGACACATGGTATTAAGTATAAAAAACTTTGAAAGTAATCTAAAGGAGGATAATATGTTATTCCTTAAAACAAAATCTAAAAAAAGAGAGTAAAACAAAGTAAATAACTTCGATAGAATGAGAATGTTATGATATTCTCCAATAATTCAGCTGATTATCTACTTTCAGATAAAACTATGGATAATAAATTTGTATAATCTTTAACAACAATATCTGCAGTGCCAACATAAGGGATATTATTATACTAATATTCTATTTTAACTGGAATACTTACTTTTGAAATCCTTGATGGCAGGCTTAAAGGTAATCTATTGGAGCTTGATACTTTTTGAATCCTTTTTTGATCTTTACAATTATTCCATCTTTTCAATAGCAACTTATTAATAAAGTCTTTAACTCTACAATTAAATAGCAAAATCAGAATAAGCCATCAATCTACTATCATTAACATCATCACCAATTACTAAGACTCTCCTTCTCCATACTTATTTCTCTTAAAGTATTTTAACTAAAATTGCTTTTTAAGTCTTAGTCATCCTATAACCAACAACAGAGGTTGAAAAAGCAATGATAAAACATAAATGATTAAATAAAGAATTATCTTATGATATTTTGTCCAAACTTTCTCCATGAATTAAAATAGAAAATGGTTTGATCCTCTATTAAGTATTCTACAATCCAGGTAATAATCCTTTAGTACTTTATCTTCTACCACTTGTATGTATAGATTTACGCTTCTATTTTGGACTCATTACAATTCTATCAGATAGTCTCTTCTCTATTACAATTGGATCCTCCTTTAAATGCTTTATCTAATTGTTATACAACCATTAAATCTATTACTTGATTTACAAAGTAACATCTTGTAAATCAAAATGAATTATTGGAATCAAATCTTTCAATATTTCTGTTTTATATGCTATTGGTAATACTTTGTCCAAAGAATCCCCACTTGCTATCCATATTATCATTTCAGCTGCGAGAAGATTTTTTATTACCGTTGTTATTTATTTTCGTAATTTCTCCTTAATCCCTATTACTAAACTCAATTCATATGCTCTTGGCTAAGTTTTCAATTCTTATATAGGGTTTTTTTAAAATTATTGATATTAATTACTATCCATAAATGACTTAAAAAATACTACTGGTCTACATCCATCCGAATATAATTTATAAATCATATTCTCCCATCTCTCTCTCTCCTCCTTATTCATTAATATTTAATCACTCATCTCTTAACTATCATCTCTTATAAATTAAACATAATCATAATTCTAATCTACATCTTCAAAGAATTTTCTGTAATCTTATTTTGTTAGTATCACACTTACTTTATAATGCTCCAATTAAGTTACAGTTACGGATATTTCAGTTAATTTACCATTGATTTCAACTATGTATTTACTCTTATTTATAGTTGAACATATAAACTTATAATTAAAGTAAGAGATAAATTCTAATTACAGACTATCAATCGATGATGAAAATTCATGTTTAAATGTATCATCTTATTTATTATAAGTTGAACTAGTGTTATGACAAATCATTAATATAAATATAGATTCTTCAGTTTACTTTCTACTTTCAGTAGCAATCAATTTATTCAGAAAATCCTTCTCATCTAAACTTCTTTGATCTTCATAATTCTTATTTAAACCCTCATCTGATAAAAACTTTGTAAAATTCATTGATCTTTCCATTCCAAATCTTTTTTGTTTATCAGATCGATCTAATTTAATACTTTATTTAGCTCTAATTGTGATTCCCTGAAGTTGAGTAGATCTTTTCATCTCCTTAGGACTATATTATGATTATTAATTGTTATTAAGATATTGTTATTAAGTATTATTGTTAATATTAATGTATTATTATTATTATATATTATTATTACTACCTTATTATTATTAACTGTTTAGATTCATATTACTATTTTATTAATATTATAATATAAATTATTAGACACTACTACCTTACCCATTATTGTTTATATCTGTATTTGAACCCCATGAATCCTGAAATATTTTAGGTTGTTTACTTTTATGAATATCTTTTAATTTAGAATTGTCATCAATGATTTCTTCAGGATCTAGATTTACTTATTCATTATTATTGGTATCAGTAATATCTCGATTAGAATGAATGAGAAATTCTTCTAATTGGATAGGTTTGATTGAAGGATGCTTAGAAATGCGTTTCATTTACTTAGGTTAAGGACATATCTTGACTAGAGAAACCTCTTTGATTGGAGATTATGATTCTTTAATGAGGAATTATTACATTTCATAATTATCGTATTATTACTTTTAATAGGTTTTCCAATGATATTAATCATGAAATGTTTTATGGCTTATTTAAAATAATTGATCATTAAAACTAATCATCTTAAATTTAAATGATGGAATAGTCATAGTACCAGTTTTATCAAATATCACACTATCAATTAAACTTAGATCAGCTAAAGGTTAATCATTGATTCTCTAATAATGAGATGATAATTATAGATCTTTAGATGTAGGTTGAATTATTTATTTATGAAATTAATACTATTTAAATATCATAGTACATAATGTCATAAAATCAAACATAAAATGTAAATAATATGGAATCATATTAAGATAACCCAAAAGATATTTACATAATATTTAAATATTCCATTATCTACCATAATACATAAATCTTAGAGATTCTGCCATCCAAGAAGCAAATGATAAAACAATTAAGAGTATGAGAGTGAATTAAAAGAATCTATCAACTTTAGTATAAAAAAAAGAATGCTTCATTCTACTTTTAGGTTAATTGTAATAATAACGACAACTTAGACCAGCATATAAAACTAATCCATAAATGTAATCACAATTCAATAAAAGTTATTCTCTGAATATTATATTCTCCTTTTTAATATCAATAGCTTAAGGATCATTTTTAAGTCTCACAAATCCAGAATATAAAGATTTATCATTAATGTTTCTATCATAATTCACTTTACCATTAAGTAAAAGTCTATACTCAAAAGAGTTATTTTTAAATTGATGCATTCTAGACATACTTGTCAAAATGTTTGGTGATTTATGTATCTAATTAGTATTTCCAGTAAAATTAGCAGCATCAACATTACATTAATCATAATTAGATTCTAAAATAAGTAAATCAGCAGGACATATTTCATTTCTTTATAATACTACTATATCACCAACTTCTACTTCATCCCAACAGATAGTTTCAAATATTTATACTTTCTATTCTTATCTTGGTGTAGATTAGATTTTTTTTTCTTCTCTGAATGAAGAAATTATCATCGGTCTATATACATCTTATTTAAGAGGAGCAGAAAAGAGAATGATATCATTATTCTAAGGATGACTAAGTTCCTCATGAATTATTGGTTTTTTTATTTAGTTAATTCTCTTTAATTTTTTGAAAATGGTCACCTTTCTCTTATTAATTTCCTTATCTTATTAATGTTTTATGAATTTATAGTAGAACATCTTTATTAAATACATGGCTATACCCATCAACAAAGGAATCACAAATTAATAAAATAATGAAAAGTCTTCTCCTTTCAAATCAATTATTGATAAACAAACTATATTTATTATTATGAATATCTAGTTCCCTGGACGATTCACATACTCACCCAATATCTAAGTGTATGATAAATATGAATCTATTCCATTATGCAATTCAGCAGATGCTATACCTTTCAAATTCACTGATTCCCCCATCTCGAATTCTATCTACACTATCATATACCTTTTCTACCTATCTTGAATAGAGCT